GGCCTTATCGACAAGTAAAACCTGAAGAATTTTTGCTTCTTGAACATGGCACGCAAAGCCGTTACAATCATTTCTGTATTTAGAAAGCAAATCGATCGGCAACAACAGAAAATTTGAAAACAAAGACTTTTCGATTCAAACTAAACAGTTTCACGTTTAAAAGTATTAACAAGTCCAAGGCTTAATCTCAATCAGATCTCATTCAGCTTTTGAGCTTAAATTTTTCGATTTCAACCTTTTGATTACATTTACTTTAAATTAATAATTAAGAGTAAAAAAAAAAAAAAAAGAGTTTTTCGGTGCGAATTTACCGTTTGTCATGATATTAAAATTAAAGCTTTTTCGATTCTTGAATAAATTTTACTACGATGAATATCAGAGGTTCGACAATCGGAACGGATTGTTGTATCCTGAAGACGAAGCATCCAATCAGCAATTGGAACAAAAATTCATTGCAGAACCATTAGAACCATTTTATCACATTTAGCAATTTCGTTACGAGCCATCAACTGCAATGTCCATTGTATATATTTGCCTAACTACAAAAGCGAAGCTTATGCTTTCACATTTGACGAAAACATTGAAGACTTCTGCCTGCAATTTGATGTTGGAAAATACCTTAAATTGGTCAAATATCTCTGCTTCCTGGATTTGTTATTTACTTATGGACTCAAATAGATATATCATTAAAATTTCCACAGTCGATTATGATTTTTTTTACTTGTTTTCAAAAAAAAATTACGTGATCGGTGTATAATGGGTTATACTTATAAATAGCTCGTTTGGAATATAATTTCCTGTTCAATGCACGGGACTCGATCAGAGTGGTGTGACTGTTTGAGCCTACGAGGCTCGCCGTGCTACGATTCATTAGGAAATTATGTCGTCCGATTCGATGTTAAACTATAGCATTAAATAGGCAGCAACATAGGTCGGAGGTAGTAGTAAAATTCAAGGTAAACTGTTCGTAGGTAAACAGTTTTCGCAATTATTTTGGATTCCTAAAGAACTAATCAAGCGAACACAACCGAACTATAAGTGCAGTTACAGCAAAGCAAAATTTGCTCGCCAATTGTCAAATATAAGTGATGGAGTCAAATTAAAAATAAATGAATCAAGTTTACGGACTTGAAAATTCCCACAACATTGAAGTCTTCCGACAGTTATTGCTATGCTACTGACGCGTATAGGAAATTCAATGGATTTTTAATGTCTACATCTCTTACAATTGCGATCGAAAAATTAAAGCACTTACCACACTGCACTACTTTTAAACGTCTATTTATTAAATCCAAACCTAAATATGTCTTAAGAAATTTTAAATTTGCTTCATTTTTTCACTTTCAGTTTAGTTTTCCTAAGAAATCTTGAATAGATAAGATATGATTGCCAATAGGATAGGATGATATATCCTAAGCGGATATATAAAAATAAAAGTCTTCTTTTTGTTTTTGCAATTATTTATAATAGTTATTCATTTTTAAAAGGAAAAAATCCTTTGCATAAAGTGCACATTGAATATATTCCAAGAAAAAATTGTCTCATTCGTTTTGTTGTCCCATATATCATATTGCATGTCTAGTTGATCCGGTCAAATTACGAGAATGTTTAATTAAAATCTTTGCAAACTATCTTATATGGCATTTAAGTCGAATATAATTTCATTGACCGTCGACCGATTTCACTTGAAAACATAAACATTGTAAATCATTTAATGATTTATATTTTAAAAGTCATTTATTTACATTCTGCTTACGTTGAAATTGAAAACTAACAAGAATATCGACGAAATTCGAATATAATGCAAGAATATTGAAAATCGATTTGCCAGCGATATGATAAATCGATTTCAAAATGATATTACAAAAATTACAATTTTGTGTTGATGAATCTTGTGCATATTTTTTTTTTGCTGCTATGATGAGAACACAATTCTTTATGTGATTTTAGCTAAAGTCTTGGATATGTTGAGAGTTTCTGAAATAAATGTTAACAAAAGTTTATCTCTAGTCCTGCATTCGTCCTATATTATATATATATTGTTACGGAAATCCTAAATCCAGCTAATTCCGGATAATTAATTTTCTCAAATCAAGCAGGCGCGCCATGCAGCCGCCAGCTGAGGAAAACGATTGCCAGAAAAACAGGTTAACGGATTAAAAATGGAATTTTGAATATGCTTGTACATAATAGACTATTGTAGATAAATAGATTATTTGCGGAAGACAGACATAGAGTCGGTTAAGAACATGCGAATCGAGACTACTGCCAAAATAGATTGTGAATAATCCTACTGTTAAGGAATAGGAAGGCAATGTATTTCTCTAGAAAAGAATTTCCACGATCTAGTGGTACGCGTTCTACCTTAGAAAAGCCAAATTCGTAACAATATATACATACATACATACATACATACGTACATATATTATATGTATGTATGTATATATACATACATCCTATATTATATATATATATATATACATATACATATACATATATATATATATATATATATATATACATATATACGAGACGCGTCGATTTTGTTTTTCGAGAACAGATTTGTGCGCCATTAATCAATTGTGAGGGCAACAATCGAAACACATCTGCGGTTGAATTTTGAATTCGATCGATTGATACCAATTTCGACATGGCCGAATCGAAAAATATAGTTTCGAATAGGAAAGCACTTAAAAATTTTAAGTGGCGAAAGATTTTAGCAAAGATCTCAACTTTCTGAGTCACATAAAGAATTACGTTCTTCGTAAAGACATTTGGATATCGTTTCTGAAAAGTCTATAACGTAGCATTTACCTCTTAATGCCAACAAATACTATTCTTAGAAAATGAAATGTGAAAAATGCGAAACGAGTTCTATGTCATTGCTTAAACTACGTTGATTGTATTGATTACATTAAGTCTCAGGGTTTCATCCTAAAACATGTATACTTTTTTGAATACTAGGATTGCTGGTGTTTATATGGATATGTTAAGTCTATGCGAATGTGTATAATGCCAAGGAGGGCTTGAGATAGATCTCATTTTTATTATGCCGATCGATTTAGAAAATGATTCAAAACTTGTTTCTGTGTTTGTCCGTCAATCCATTCCATGCGTGTTCATTTGCTTCTATGTTGAACCTGTGTCGGTATATACGGTATATGGTATAGAACAACTTGTTTTGGCCCAAGGATGAATGCTATTGACAAGGGTTCGGATAAAAAATTACTTTTTTGTCGATTTCTCTTGTATTAAGCAAAGTGCAGGGAAGGGACATATTGGT